TATTCAGGCATCCCAACACAATTTCTGAATGTGAGTTTGCCTTTCTTTCATGGAGGGCCTCAGCCAGCACCACTATTTAAGAATGTAGAGTGATCTACTGAGATGGGATTTTATCTAAGACACAGGATTTGACCCAGAGGTCCACTTTCTGACCAAAGGAGTTTAACATTGGGCACAAGGCCTGGGACTCTACTACATACTGCACCACTAAAAAGGTGCTAACCAGATAGAGTAATGAAATGAAATAGTATGTTGAAGGTACAGCTGAAATGTCAGTTTGGAGATGATACCCTGAGAGGATGGGCCATCACCCAACAGAAAGCAGTATACACCCTAAGTCAATGACATCCTAGATCAATATTATATGGAAGAGTACACAAGTTTGGGTGTGGGAGTAGGAGTTGTATTGTTTGTTATCACTCCCGGTGACCTACTTGGGGAATTTGTGTTTCCCACACTTATAATTCTGTATTGTGCAGGTTTGGAGTTGTTGGCTCTAAGATTGCAAATGCTTTCTCCAGGGAACACAGGAGCCCCATTGAATTTTAATCTGTGGTTGCTACCTGGTTACTTTTAGCACGAGACAAAAGAAAACAAGCTGCCTGGTCACGTTTGGCACCATCCAAAAGAAAACAAGTCAGCATCATATCACGGGAAATTGACCCTAATCATCAGGAGGAAATAGGGTTATCACTATACAACGGGGGCAGGCAAGAATAGATTTTGTGTCTAGGTGACCCAGTTAGGTATCACTTGGAAATGACAAGTCTTCCAGCCATGGCCCAGAAAGGGCATGGTGTCCAGAGTCTCAGACCCTTTAGGATGAAGCTTTTAGTCACTGCACCAGGTAAGATACCTAGATGAGCAGAGATAGTGGCAGAGAGTAACAAAAAATCTGGAATTGGTAGTGCACTACAGGGATAATGAATATCAGTTAAGGTCCTAAGACCAGATCCAGTGGCAGGTGCTATAATGTCTTTCACTGATATTATAAGTTTTCCTCAGGAAAAGAAACTCGACATAACCATGGGATAATTGCTGCAGAATTTATCTATATGGAGCAAATGAGCCTGAGAAAGGTGAGAAATGAATGATAGTAGATGCTGTGGTGTGCTGCCAAGCCCTTCTATATCCATGCTCCTTTGGCACAGAAGCTCGTATTTCTCCAGCTGCTGAGACTGTTGGAGGCTGACAGGCTTCAAGTGAGTCCTTCTCCAGACATACTTGACTTCATGTATTTCCAAGTTTATGCTCACATCAAATGACTGGTCAGTACAAAAGTATAGAAGCCCAGCTCCCTTGCCTTGATTTGCAACAATTTGGAAGGCTCATCCCAACTCCAGAATTTACCATGTGTTCAGCTGAGGCCCTTATTGTGACTGCATCACAGGCCTGGCTCCCTTTCACTGTCTTCAAGGGTATTGACCTTAAAACCAGTTCCTAATCAACCTCCTGCATTCTAATCTTAGTCTCAGAGACTGCTTCCCAGAAAAACTGATAAGTAACAGTGTGTTTTTGTATATATTACTTTTTGCTTTTGCTTCAATGATTGCTATTTCTTAGTACAAAAAAAATGTCAATATTTTCCTTTATAGTTTCTGGTGTTTTAGGCTATGCTTAGAAAGGCCTTTTCCATCCCAGGATTATAAACATACTCACCCATATTATCTTACGGTTTCCTTAAAACACTTTCAAATTTTTGATTTATCTGTAATTTTGATGTAAAGAGAGAGGTAGTGACTCAGTTTTATTTCTTGTTTTTAAAATGTTTACTTTTTTGAGAGAGTGTGAGCTGGGAAGGCACAGAGAAAGAGAGAGACAGAGTGTAAGTGGGAGACATAGAATCTGAAGCAGGCTACAGGCTCTGAGCTGTCAGCTGAGATCCTGATGCGGGGCTCAAACTCAAAACTTGAGATCATGTCATGAGCCGAAGTTAGACACTCAACTGACTGAGACACCCAGGAATACTATTTATTGTTTTTTAAATGATACTCTTTACACTGTTTTTTTTTAATTACCTTTCCCCCCAAATTTTCTAAGGTATAATGTGTTTTTTGTCATTTATCCAATTTCTAGGTTTCAATACATAACTCATTTTTCATCCATTGTGTTTAGTACTTGAAATGCTTAAATTACAAATTTTTGTGAGTGCAGTGTTGGCTGCATCCCATGTGCTTTAATATGTAGCTTTTCTTCATTAATTTTAGTTTTTAGATATTATACACCCAATTTCAAATTATTTTTTGAATAACTGTTTACATGAGCTTTTTAAAATTTACAAATGGTAGGAATTTTATTTGTTCTTAGCTTTGTTGTAGTGTGATTAAGCACTATGTTTTGCACTATTTCTATTTCAAAAACATAACCTGGCTACTTTTTTCTGCATCTTTCTTTTTTTTAAATATAATTTATTGTCAAGTTAGCTAACATACAGTGTATACGGTGTGCTCTTGGCTTCAGAAGTAGATTCCTATGATTCGTCCCTTACACACAACACCCAGTGCTCATCCCAACAAGTGCCCTCCTCAATACCCATCACCCATTTTCCCTGTCCCCTGCTTCCCAACAACCCTTAGTTTGTTCTCTGTATTTAAAAAGTTTTCTTCCTTCTCTGTTTGAAACTATTTTTTCCCTTCACACACAATGAAAAAGAATGAAATCTTGCCATTTCCAACAATGTGGATGGACCTGGAGGGTATTATGTTAAGTGCATCTTCCTAATGTAAGTAAAAGTGAGGAACTATTTTCCTTGTTCTACATTTTACTTATATTTTCCCATGGGTTAGAACATCAGAAAATACACAGTAAAAGCATCTAGGTTTCTTACAAGAAGATTTTTGAACATCCTTTTAAGAACTTTATGGCAAAAATGTTGGCTGTTCACATGCCATTTTTGTCTCCTAGATGGTTCTCGTTATTTTTTCTGAGTTCCCTTAGGGTTGGGTGTATCACAGGATTCCAGGGCCAACATTCTTCAATATAACATTTAGAGAGTTTTTGTTTAAAGTGTGGATCAACCAAGCTCTCCAGAGTTAGTCCTAGATAAGACAGGGTGTTGGGATTCCTGAGGTCTGGTCCCTTCCATTATCTGCTTGTGTGACAGTAGACATTCCTTTCTGTGCCTCAGCATCTGCATCTTTACATGGTGGTAGTGGAAGAGGAGTGTTCTGAGTCTGATAATCTGGAGGAAACTTCTTGCTTTCTGACTAGGTGAGGTTAGAATGATGGACAAAGCAAAAAGGACATGGTGGGGAGAAGGAGCATAGAAGCAAGTAAGAGAATCATTAAAAGGGGGCCACCCACTTGGTCACTGTCTTCCCTTCAGTTCTCCACTGACAGAAGGTACATGGTACATGCTTGGCAGGTCTGGGAGTCATGGATGGGAGAGGAGAACAGATAGGTTTGGGTCATTGATTTAAGATTTAAACCCTGAACTGAGAACAAACTTGAATGCCATACCTTCCATGCTTTGCTGATATATTTATTGATATATTTCCCCTTTTCAGGTGATGGTGACAAAAAGCAGATGAATCCCCCTACCCTACCCACCCCCCAATAAAATACAGACACAGATTTCATTCAGCATATACAAGCATTGGGGCGTGTCCAAATTTACCTCACTGGGTTACTGGAGCCAGGAGAGGTTCGGTCTTGGGGGCCCAGGAATTGAGCAGCCAATGCTAAAGAGAGGCTGCTACTCTGGGCCTTGCCACTGGGGTGCTGGCAGAGGCAATAGAATCAAATCATGGTGAACAGAGTTGCTTAGCCCTGTCATGTAGTCTAGAAGGTGACAGTGGGCTCCTGGGTACTTTCCAGTGAGATCCACAGTCCCATAGAAATCTGTGCCTCAGGGTTCTCATCTGCAAAATGGGGATAAGAATCCTGCTCTGAATCACAGGCTATGATAAGGCTCAAAATAGAAATAACTTCTCAAAAGTGCTTTGCAAAAGGTAAAGTGCTATACAAATTTAAGGGAATTCAATTAATTGCAATTGTGAGTGCCCCAGGATAAGAGTGGACTGGCTCATGGGTCCAGGGGCCAAGAAAGTGATAAAACTCTTATGTTGTGCCTTTAGAGGGCACCAATCAGTGCTGGTAATGCCCACTGCAAAGCAAAGTTCTCTTAATTTCTTGGCCCCGGGAAGTCACCATGGCCTAGCACCTGGGTCGGGGCTGGGAAAGTCACTAGGGAAGCTACAGAAAATGTCACAGGGGTCAAGGAGGAGGAAGAAGGTGGCATCCAAAGCAGGGAATCATTACTATTATCACACACAAAAATAGATACCCAATGGATGCAAGGCATTGAATTTGTAGTGCAGATGAAGAATGGAGGCGGGGGGTGGGGGGAGAAGGAGGTGGCACAGCAGCAGAGGGAGACACCGTCCCAAAGGCTCTCAATTGCTGGCTCCCTTCTTCCTAAATGGATAATATTGGTGTCTATCTGCAAGGGAAGGGAGGGCAGGAAGAGAAAACCAAGAATATAACAACTGGACCTAAGGACTAGGATCCTCTTACCCTTTGTACTGCTGCCCAGAATTTTAAGGTGTCAGGAACAGGCAAGCAGCTGGTCTATGCACTTTGAGGCTGAGGCCAGAACTGGGCCTGGAGCACCACAAAGGCAGTATTATTTCTGGAAAAAGGCAGTGGTTATCAGCACTGTTGTAGATAGCTAATCTGCTCATATTTGGGCATGGTCTTAGGGAGCTGGTCACGGACAGCCTGTTATTTTTAGGTCTGAGCATCATTAATGCCCCTTGAGGAACAGAGAGGTGGGCCATTTTACTTGAAATTGGCTGCCATGGAGAGTCAGTGAATGGGCCAGGTAGGGGAGACGGCCAGCAAAGAGGAAATCTCTATAGGTTTATATTTGAGGAATGGGGAAGGAAAGATACTGTCTTGTTGCTCCTGCTGCTGCTGCTGCTTTCCCCTGACTCCCTTGGCAAGGGGCGTGGGACCTCCTGGAGAACTGGGGAGGCTGCCCATAGGGTACCAGCTGGTACCTACAAGTTAAGGCAAACAAGCCAATAGAGCACATTGAAGAAGAAGAAGGTCACTGGGAAAACAACTCGCGAGTAGTTATCCAGGCGGTAAATGTGGATGAAGAGGCGGCCCTGCTGCCAGATACTGCCCTCACACCTGGGGACCACACAGACATACTTCTTGCACCACTTGCAGCAACCGCCAGGATTCTGGATGCCACCTGGGCTGAGAGACTGCTGGGCTGGGCAAGATGGGCCCTCCTCTCCATCACTCTCATCAGAGTCCTCAATCTGGCACACAAAAGCATCAGGATGCTGATGGGCACTGGCACGGGGAGGCATAAGGGCACGGGCACGAATATCTGGCTGAAAAGGACAAGGAAAGAAGTGGGAAAAAGTCAAATGAAGGTGAATCAAGCCTAGGTACTGTCTCAGGATTTCTGGAGATTCTGGTCTTGGCACACTGTTTTTTGTCCACCCTGTGCAATTCCCGGCATCACATCCAAAAGTTTATTCAACTACCACCCCCAACGCCAGGTTACCCCCACCCCATAACTTGGTGAGCTGGCCTCCCATGTGCCATGAGTCCTAGTGCCCTCACTTGCATGCCTCCACATCCCAAAGGCTTGCCACCACTCCCATACCCAGGTCATACATGGCGAAGTTTTGGAGAAGCACGGGGTTTTGTCCAGTTGTAGGTCAGGAAGTTGAGCACAGCAAACTCCATCAAAGCACAGAAGCAGAAGACGAAGCAGATGGCAATATAGAAATCCAAAGCGGTGATATACGAGACACGTGGGAAATTCTTACGGGAAAAGGTGCCCAGTGTAGTCATGGTGAGTACAGAGGTTATCCCTGTGAATGCACAGAAGTAGAGGTGGGCTCAACTACCGATTCCTATGTTACACTGCTGAAAGGCCCCTCAAGAAGGCAATTCTGTGCCCATTTGTACGCCCATTTGCATATATTACCCACTTACCTAGAGAGGTTCTGGCTGGAGCAGAGTCTTTCTTGATCCAAAAGGAAACCCAGGAAAGCATTGTAGTCACAGAAGAAGGGACATAGTTTTGAAAGGCTATAAAGCCAAATCGCCTGCTCACATTGAAGAAAAGTGTCATGACCATGAAATCACCTGGAAGACATAAAAAATACCATTTCATTACAGCAGATGAGGGTCTCCCCCAGGCAGGACATGCATAAGGGTCTTGTTCAGCTCATGGGATTCCCACCACAGTCCTAAAATAGAGGTAGATTATTCCAATGCCACATACGGAGAATCAGAAGAAGCCCAGAGAGGAGACTCACTGTAAGACCCATTGTCAGTTAAGAGCTGAGCCAGGTCCACAAACTTCGTTGCTTCTTTTTCAGGCCACTTCCCCACACCCCACATCTGTCTTCTCAGGGTGGCAGAAGTGTCAGATGAAAGTGAAAAAATCAGTTACCCTTCTAACTATCAACACCACACAACTAATGTCCACATGGCTGACTGAGACCTTCACGCCCATTAAGGTGCAATATCTAGTCTGCAAAATCACAGCCTGACACATGCACTACTGGCCTTTACAATGTATACTCTCAGGGGATGAGCCAAGGATGGCCTATGCTGTGGTGGGAAAAGCATAGAATCCATTTGGCCTCCTTCCTATTCATTTGCATGCTGGTAAAATGCTTTAGTTGCACTGTTGTATCAAAGGCCAAAAGAACTCAGTTGCACACCCCCAAACTTTTGCTGGTTCCCTATTCCACAAAAAAGCTACAGAGTCAAGTGTGCACTTTGTAACCTCATACTAAATAAAGGCTCACCATGACCTGGCTCCAACTGACATCTTACACACACACACACACACACACACATACACACACACACACCTTCTTGTAGGCTCATCTCATACACTCTCAGATTCCCTGAGATAGCTTGCATAGTTGCACCAATATTCAAATTCTAGACTCTCTGTTCCTTAGTCTATTATCCTAATCCAAATTGGCTGCTGCAAAAAAATAGAAAAATTAGCTGAAAGTGAAAATTAGGGCATCATGTCCTTGATGTTGGCTCTTCCCCTACAGAGTGATGGCTCTTATAGTACTTATGACAATAGAAGAATTAGCATCTTCTATTATACCCTTCATGCTGCCTTATGCTCTGACATGCTCATCCCAAACACTCTGCATGCTCATCAGGACTGCAGAGATTCTGATGGCTTTCTTTGAACCCAGAACTCCCCATTTCACTTTCAATATCACATAGGGTTTGTGATAGCTCAAATTCTGTTAGTGAAGCTAAGCTCCAAACTTCCACCTAAGGGGTGGAATGCTGTAAAATTCCTTGGCCTTGAGTTAGGTGGTCTTTTTTTTTTTTAATTTTTTTTAGCGTTTATTTATTTTTGAGACAGAGAGAGACAGAGCATGAACGGGGGAGGGGCAGAGAGAGAGGGAGACACAGAATCCGAAACAGGCTCCAGGCTCCGAGCCATCAGCCCAGAGCCCGACGCGGGGCTCGAACTCACGGACCACAAGATCGTGACCTGGCTGAAGTCGGACGCTTAACCGACTGAGCCACCCAGGCGCCCCATAGGTGGTCTTTTAAAACACTACAAGGTTTAGACTCCTCATGGAAGCCCTGTGGCTTGGCTTTTGCCCATCCAAGCCCAGCATGGGCTGGAACCTAACAGATGCTCAGTGACACTTACTACTGACTGACAACAGCTTTGTAAAGCAGACCAGAACACTAACATGTCTATGTGTCCTTCTATTTTGAAAAGTATATCACCTGCCTTCCAGGTCTGGGTATACTGGAGCTAAATGAGAAGAGAAGTCTTTCCTACTCACCTTGAAAGTACTGACATTTAAAGGGCAAGACTTCTTGGAATCTTCCAGAAAAAAAAGGTAAGGAAGCGGTCTGGGGTCAGTAGAATATGTGTAATCAGAGTAGTAGCTTTGGGGATAGAACTCCTCTTCCAGGCCTGCTACAGGAACCACTCACATTTACCTACTGGCCAGAATGTATTTATCAAGTTCCTAGTTCTCTTGTCCTGGGTCTTAACTGCAATTTAAGACACCCCTATTTAGCTACAACCACTCCATTCAAAACTTATATATTCTTGTTGGAAGATGTATTATCCTATCAGCTTTTTCCATATTTATTTTCTTTATTCCAGCCAAAGAATGACCTTTTCCACTGGGTAAGCTTTGGAAAGCTGAGAGAAGGATACCAACATACAATTTATTATTTGTGAGGAATGAAGGAGCATGGGTAAGGGAAAAAGGATATCTGGGGCTGAGAAGCCAAAGTCAAAGCAAAACAAAACAATCCCTCCCACCAAACTAAAGATGCTTCTGCTTTTCTCTCGTTTGGCTAGACCAGAGTTTGTCACTGTACTGTCAGAGGAATGCAATTTAAAAGACTGAGTCCAGAGTACTGGGACTAGAAGAATGAGTGGACCCAAAGCTTTGAAGAACAGGGAAGGAAAAGGAAATAGGCTGTAGAGTCTATAAAAGATTGTGACCCGGAGCTGGGACCATAATACTAGTAATTTAATCTTGACCCTGGAGAAGAGTGACTGGGCTTACCACAAGTTCAGTAGTTCTAAGGAAAAAAAACCAGGTCCAATGGGTAGGAGTTCCAGAAACTCCGATTTCAGATGAACAGCAACAGTTTTCCAATGGACAGAGTTGTCCAGAGACGGGTGAAACTCTCTTAAAAGAAAGTGAACTCCTGGTCATGGGTAAGGTCCCATCAGAGTCTCAATAGCCACCAGTGAAAGTTACCTCACTCACTGCAGGCAAGGGTGGAGTCTCTAAAAGCCTCCTGAAGCAGTGAGGGTCTCTGGTTCAAGGCCCAAAGTGACCAAAGTAGCAAGCTACCCCCACATTCTGACCCCTTAGAAGCTGAATATGTAGATAGATGATAGATAGATATAGATAGATAGATAGATAGATAGAACTGCCCAGAGGCTGATGGGAAGAGTTTCAGACCAACCTCAAAAAGAACTATGATACTGGAGAAACTATAATTCACAAGCAACTAGCCTCTAGCAGAAGAGAAAGAAGCCCGCCTCCTTTTTTCCCAAGAACAATCTTTTCTCCTAAGGAGGGTCACTGCTTACCTACTGTCATTTCTTTGGTGATGATGCTAGCTCTGGGGCTTTGTAGTCACTAGGGGGCCATTTTGAAACAATGCACAGCCATCTACTAAACGGAATCACTAGTAACTTGAAAGCCCCTGGGCCTTGTCTCTTCTGCTTCTTTTGATGATGGGTCCCCACCTGTCTGGGAAAACTGAGGTGCAGAAAGGCAAGAGGCATGCCCATGGTTAGCTGGCAGAAGAGCAAGGTTAGAGAATAGTATAGTATAGTATAGTATAGTATAGTATAACTGCTTACCCAGAGACCCTGAGAAAAAGAAAGGCATTTGTAAAACAGCCCTCTGCCCTTGCCCTAATACTGTGGAAGCAAATCTCTGGCCAGAGGAGCATGACCCATCCCTCCCCCCATGACCAGCTCAACAAGTACAGTGAAAGCAGATTTTCTGCCTAGGCACAGAAGCAAAGCAAGACTCCTCCTATGGCAAATGGCTGGTGGGGTGACTGTCTCCATCTGCATCCTGGAAATGATGAGTATACTATACTATACTATATTATACTATACTTGGTCAGTTCGTGTGAAGAGGGTTTCCAGGGCTGCTCTGGGAGCAACCCTGGGGAGGTCCCTTAGATTTTCATTGAGATCACCTAGGAACCAAGCAAAGACACTCATATCTAATTGGAAGCTGATGGTGAAGAGACCCAAGACCCTCCCCTTTAGTCCTTGTTAGCTACAAAGTCAGAAAACCAATAATAACCATGTCCATGTTGAATCCACCATGAAGGCTTTGACAGGAATCTGTGCTTGTAAAAGCTGCTCCTTTATTTTTTTAAATATAATTTATTGTCAAATTGGTTTACATACAACACCCAGTGCTCATCCCAACAACAGAGCTGCTCCTTTAAAATAAATGTTGATGCAATAGGAATTGTAGTTGCTGAAATTTCCCTTATACCATCTGAGCCCTCACCTAGCTAACATTAGAACTCTAGCCTCTGCTTCCTATTAGGACCAACTTTGTTTCCCACTTAACCCAGCTTGGATTGGTTCTGGGTATGAAGAACTCACATGAGCTCCATTCCCCAAAGTCATCCAAGCAGGTCGGTTTTAACAAAGATCTAGAAACTGGGGGCATCAGGGTGACTCAGTTTGTTAAGTGCCCGACTCTTGATTTTAGCTCAGGCCATGATCTCTCAATTTGTGAGATCAAGCCCTGTGTCAGGCCCTGTACTGACAGCGTGGGGCCTGCTTGGAATCCTCTCTTTCCCTCTCTCTCTGCTTCTCCTCCACTCATGCTCACTTGCTCTCTCTCTCTCTCTCTCTCTCTCTCTCTGCTCCTCCCCTACTCTCGCTTTCTCTCTCAAAATAAATAAATCTTAAAAAAAGACGTAGAAACTGAAGGGTCTGCATGACAAAGCTAGTTGCAAATCTTGACAGCAATAAACTTTATCTACTTACCCACCCTCTCAGGGAGTTGGCAAAGCACTTACTCCTTTGCAGATGAGAGTGAGATGTAGTTACAAAGTCTGTTTCCTCTGCAAACAGTTGTAAGTGCTTAACGTTTACAAGACAGGAGTCATGTTCTATAAAATTTCCATGGGATAATTGCATACATTTATATATATGGATGGTCACCCCAGTCATTCTTACCACCCCCTTACCAGACCTCTACTAAGCCCTTGTTCCATAGGTACACGTACCAGTTGGGGTTGAGATTGTTTCAGTAATGTTGGTCACTCCTGTAAAATCAAACTGAAAGAGCTTCCAGGAATTCTTCTCATTGATTTCAAGCTTGAAATCTTCCCATTTGTAGATCATCTCACTCTCAGGATAGGAAACTGTAAGGCAATGTGGGAAGGAGGGTCATGTGAGACTGGGAAACCAAGCATGGAGTCTGAGCAATGCCTTGGAGTCCTGACTCTGGCCTCATGAGCTGTGGGACCTTGCCTCTCTTCCTCATTGTTGAAGTTCACTCAATATGTGCATTTATTGAGCATTCCTTAGTACCAGGCTCTGTGCTGGAAATATAGAGATGAGCAAGGCAGAAGCCTTGCCCTCATTCACATTTAATTGAATAAGATAGTAAATATACATCTGTAATTGTTGGAGTTGCTGAAAAACTTCCACCCGTGGGACAGTGGAAAAACAGATGAGGGAAAGACCACCTGGAGACACACCCAACAAAGATTTTATACAATAGTTGACATTTCCAATAAATCCTAAAAGCCGAGTAAATATTCTCTGTATGGGTAAGGCTGAAGGGGTGAGGAGGGTGTTGTATGCACAGAAAGATGAAAATGCCTGATGGATTATGGAAATGCCAAAAGTTCAGGATGGCTAGCTCACAGATGCTAGATGAAGCATACAGGAATGGGTGGCAGGGGCCAGTAAATGAAGTACCTTGAGAGTCATTACAAGGAATTAGGAATTGACCTATGAGATTTCAGGGAGGATTTGAAACTAAAACACGACCTGGTCTAGATGATGCTTCAGCTAGGTCACTCTTGTCATTATATGAAGATAGCTTGTGGACAGGGAGACCAGTTTTAGTAGGCCAGTGCAATAATCCAGGCCCAATAAAATGAATGAAGGCAGGAATCAAAGCTGTGGCAGTGAGAATGCAGAGAAATAGGATCAATAGAGACTCAGGAAGGAAAACCAACAAGATGTGTTGATTGATTAGATATAGGAGGTGATGGAGAAAGCAGCATCAAAATTCTTGGCTTGGACAACTGAGTGGCTGATGGTGTCTTTCAATGACACAAATGAGAACACAGAAGCAACACATTTGTTTTGGAGGTAGAGGTTGGGAGGAGACAATGTATTTAGCTCTGGACATGTTCAGTTTTAAAATAAAGATGTTGTGAAAGCCCAAGTGGAAGACGACAAAGACCTAAAACAAGGTACTGACAGTAGAAATGCAGAGGAGTAGACATACTTGAATTACACTTCAGAGGTGGGTGACTGTCTTGAGATGGAGTGGAAGGAAGATGGAAGAACCCAACACGAGGTCCAGGTGAAGCAACACAGTATTGTCAGCAAGAAAGGAGATAGAGGAGGCTCTGGGAAAATATGGCACCATTTTAGGAGAAAAGCAGAGGCAGAAAAATGTAAAGGGCAAGGATGAGAAAAAAGAAGGGGCTCAGCATGACTCTGGGGCCCCAGAAACCTAAGAAGGTACTCACAGCTAGAGAAAGACAGAGGGCAAGAGTGAGAATCCATTGGAAATTTGAGCATGTGAAGTAAACATCCAGCATCAATGGTCATCCTGGAAGGGAGAAAGGAGCCTCGTTAGGCTGGCCTTGAGCACTTAGGTATCCACCCACCTTGGGCCTGGGCACCACCACCAATGAGTGGCAACAGTGGGATTTGAAACAAAGACCTCAAAGGAGAGACAAAAAGGAAGAACAGATTGAAAGTATCTGGCTACTTTGATTTCCATAATCAGAGAAATGTGTGGACCAATTTAGATGGGCTTTTTTTTCTTGCCCATCCCAGCTTCCAGGACTTGCGAACACTTTCTCACTCTCTACCACCTTCACACCTCATATCACCCATACACAACCTTCCCCGGCCAAGCATTCAAATGTCCAGCCTGTTCATAGACATGTTTTCAACTGCTGTGTTGCTGCTCTGCCTGGACAATTCCAACACCATGGATGTGTCTTTACAGCCAGTGCCCACTTAGGATGGAACTGTCCAGGCAATGCAGTCATACTGTACATTCTAGTGGGGGGACTTGTGGACTGGGAACCAAGTAACTGGGTACCAGTCCCAGCTCTGCCATGAACTTGGTGTGTTGCTTTAAGCAATATCTTTCTATTTTGAGGCCTGGTGTCTGTGTCTATACATGAGGGGGTTGAGCTCATGGTCTAGGAAAGCTGGAAAGGCCCTTAGAAGTATCATTGAGGATGACACCTATGTTCATGATTCTTTGGCAAAAAGAGTCCCAAGAGGTAATATTCCAGAGGCTTGACATACCTAATTGTGTACAACACCTTGCCATCCTTGTGGATGCGAACCATCTGGTTGGGCATGGTGATCACATGCTCTTGGGTCCTCTTAGAATTCCTAAAAAACGTGTCCGGGATCCATAACTGGCTCACCATGTTGCCATTCAGAACAAAGCTCTCAAAGCTGCCATTGTAACGGAGGCGTTCATCATACCAGGTCTGGCAGAAGGTGATGTCAATGGTGTATTCCTGGTAGGATGGGTAGAAAAGCACACACCTAGATCTGTACAGGCAAAGAATATTCCCATGCCATTCTGTGAAGGGCCCATCAAGCAGATAGGAGACTACTTAGGTTTGCACAGAGGAAAGCAGCATGAATTAGGCTGTAGGAACTTTTCTATTTCCAGGTATTCCCAAAAGAAAGGAACATTCCCAGATAAACAACAGTCAGTGAAGACACATTTCATCTAGAAACAGACAGGCAATGGTTGTGTAACTGCACAGGCGGGGCTCATCGCATCACCACCACCTTGTAGGGTTATGGTATTACTCCAGCCAGGTAAATGCCCTCTCAGTCCCCACATTTCCATAGCAAAACAAAGATCTCAACTCAAAATCATTTTAAACATTTACAAACACACACCTTTGGTTGTATATGGTGAAGATTCCCCTTTCAGCTTTTATTTGGGGAGCACAGATGTTAACCTCAATCCTTCATTCTCCAGAGTTATATTTAAAAATGAAGTGCTTTGAGTCATAAGAGAGGTGTGTATTTAGTCTCATGTTTTTTAAATCATTGTTTTGTTTTGTTCTTCCTTTTAAACAAGGGCACCTAACCTCTGAATGTGTGTGTGCATGTGCATAGATACACCTATGATTATTTGGTCTCCAGATCATATTATATGTCCCATAAACTATCAGTTAAATATCAAAAAAGATATTTAATAGGAAGAAGCATGAGAAGCTAGAGATTTGCACTACTGGTATTGGAGGGTAAAAAGTAAAACAGCGTGAAGAGCAAGTGCCAGACCTAGGCCAAGGGGGAACCTTGAGGGTTATCTAACCTCCTTTATTTCAGTGGTAAGGAAACTGAGGCTCAGAGAGAAAAGGACCTGTCCAAAGTCACACAAAGACAGCATACTAGTTCTGATGCTCAGAGCACCATTACCATGACGTTGTCCTGGGATGGCCTTCACTGATTTCCCTCTCAATGGCTTATTTCACTTGCACCAGCAATCCCTTTGGGAACCAAGGTCCAATTTCCCCATATAGAATCCCTAGGTCTTTCTCCTGAGTTATCCTGCATCACACAATGAACACTAACCAGAAACCCATAGTGCTGGAGGCCATTAGAGCCCTCAGGGGAAAGGTCAAGACAATCCCAGCTTGGCTTTGCTGCCTAGGCCAAAAGGTGGTGATAGCCATTGCCAAATTGCTGGAAGCTAGATTCCCAGACTGAGAAGGTTCCCTGGAGTAGCTCAGAGAAGCAGACAGAAAAAATCATAGCTACTATTCACATGGGAGCCCACAGCCCTGCCCCACACAGCCCGACCAGCCTTCATAAGTGGCTTTCAGAGTGTTTCTACGGTCCCAAGTAGCTTGCAGTTCCAACTTGGCATACAGAGCCTTCTTCATTCCCAGGCCATGTGAACTGCTTGGTAGCTAGGGGAAGTCTTCCCTCCACAACCCACACTATGCTCCTGCTCTATGTTATACTGTTTCAAATAAGCATTTAATTTCTATTAACAAGATACCAATTGTAAGGTCATTACACAGCAACTGATAACCAAAAGTTCAGTTTTTCCCCAATTTGACAAGGGTACTTGGGTTGTACATCTTTTTTAGCTCAGCTGAAACTCTAGAAATTCAGCGTCAAGAAATTGGCTTAATTAGAATTGCCTGCAACAATTATCACAGCAAGAAGCCTTAGCAACTGTTGGTGTTACGATGGGCAGTCATTCCCAGACTGGTCACTGCCTTCTAAGCTCAGGCTACATGTCTCAAAAATTTAACCAAGAAACTGGTAGAAACATTTGATTTAAATCTCCATGCTGTGGGCTCAGGTTTCTCTCTTTAAGGACTTATCCTATGCTCTACACAACATCTGATTGACTGAGGGGTGTGTGAACTCCCCTCAAACAACCATACCCCCTCTGTAACAATGTTTGCTGAGAGGCTCAATTGCTTCAAATGTAAAATGAGGATCCCAGTGGTAGCTTGCCCGTCACACAGGCTGTCATGAAGATCCAAGGAGACAAGTGTGCTCTGTTCATTGGCTGTGCGAGAGAGACATACACTCCTTCCTTACTAAGTACAAAACTCCACAGTGTCACCAGGGAAAAGTAGACTGTATAAGATCTATCACAGTTTTAAAGAACTATTTGGAACTATGTAAAAGACCAGACTTCTTGGGGGAAGTTTAATACCATATGTGTATCTGGCATCTTATAAAGGCCCTTGGCCTAGGCTAAAGCAGCACTTTATTGGCCAAAGAAAATCAAGCTGTATATTCCTCTTTGGACCAGTTCTGTGTTGTATGCCAGGTTCGGTGACTACTGAGTTATTAGACTGTATCCCTTGGGATACAGTCAGGTATCAGGGGGAAAAGTGACTTTTATAGAACATCTTTCATAACTCATTTGCTCAGTTAACATATATCGAGTCCTTGACACCAAGGAACCCATAATCAGGAGAGTAAGGCAGACATAGAGCACATAATTACAATACAGTGTGATAGGAAGATCAGGCAAACAACTGTGATATAAGCTAGAAAAATCTGAATGTTAAAGAGAGGGGTGTGGTCTGAGTAAGAAGGGACTAATTAATAGCTGTGGAGGTAAGGGAAGATGCCATGGAAGAGAAGCCATTAGAGACAGACCCTGAAGGATAAGGCTATGACATGTAGAAAATTGGAACAATGGCATTCCAAACAAGAAAGAGTTTGAACAAAGACTCAAAGGTACAAGGTGATCTGGGAACACCCATACTCTAGTCACTAGGGCATGTGGTCTCTAAAGGGGGGGAAAAGAAATAAAGCTCTGGGTTGGCTCCAGCCATGGAAGACCTTGACCACTAGAGTGTGATGTTGAACTTCATGCTTTAAGCCGGGTCCCAGACCTGCAGGAGGCACATCACTCAGGAGGGCAGGTCAGTAGGTGGACTGATGTAGGCAGAAACCTTGAATTTTGCATATTTCAAGGAGAGATAATAGAGGCTAACTGGGGACGGTCCTGACAGTAGAATGATAGCAATAGAAAAGGAAAGAAGAAACCAGGCCAAAATTAGAGAAGCAGTCTTAGAGCAAGAGTTGATAACTATAGACTTAATTCTACAAAAATCATTAGAAAAAAAAGAGCCATTCCACTGTGATGTTTAAAGTTGCTTTATTATTTTTATTTTGAACAAAACACTAGAAGATATGGTCAGGATTCTGAAGGTCCTTTTCAGACAGCAAGGGACTTACCTTTTCCTGACTTCCAAAGTCAGTGTTGGTTACAATCTCCCCTCTCCAAAACAAAAACAAAGTAAAACCACAAAACTCTTCTTATGGACACACAGAGCAGAAAAAATAAGTATGTGAAAGGCCCCATGGTGAGCTTCCTGGGCTACAAGACACTGTAATAAAAAATCAGTACTCACCATGTCCAGGATAGAAATAGGACCAAGGGTGTTGACAGAGAGCTCCACAGTGACCACAGTGGGCTTTTCTGTAAAGGAAGCAGAAGTGGCAGAGGTAAGTGTCAAACAGGGACATGGGACAGGGGAGGGCGTGGTCAGAGGAGAGAACAGGTGAAGGATAGAGAGATGGTTTCAACATCACTCCTATTTCTTTCTTTGTTCTTTCATAGCAAGATCCAATTCACAGACTGTTAAGAGTTGGACATACCTTGAAGGCCAGTCATCTAGTCCACTCATTTTGCAATTGGAAAAACTGAGGGTGAGAAAAGAAAAAAAAGTCTAGACCTAGGCCAAGGGTACTGCTGAGACTAGAGTTGATATGTCTTACCCAACAGGTCAGCAACAGATTCCCTGGCCCATGTGCATGGCACCCTCACCTATACCCCAGACCCATTATCCACACCTATGCCCTCAACTTCCTGCTCCAGGAGGGGAAGAGCTATGTTCTGATACTCACCACCAATGCCAGGGCGAAGTTTATGGTCACAGTTATTCAGGATACTGTTCAGGATGTGAGTGGCTGTTGGCAGTTTGCCAAGTGTGCTGTGGGGACCACTAAGAGTGGGCTTTGTTTCTTCAGAGAGGAGCTTCTCTTCAGCAGCCTGGGGCTGGGGCCCATAGACATCATCATAGGCAGAGGGTCGATTTTCTGATTCAACATGAGGTCCTTCACTCCTAGAACATACAAACACACAAAAAATGAAGCTCTGTTCTCCACTCTGTAGGGGTCACAGATGAAGCCTTTTGGGATAGAAACAAACCAAAACAAGTCTGAAACACAAGACATAAAGAGTGACTGGTAACAGGAAATTTTAAGCCACTAACATAATATTTGTTAATTTCTTCTAAATCTTGCTACTCTTTGGGGACTTTGGGTACTATCCCTCCTTCATGGTAATTCTTTATTTTTTTTTTTAAACCCAACAACAAAACCAAGCTCGAGATTTTAAAAGAATTTCTCAATGTAAGATGAAGAGGGCATTGGTGTATGAGCTCTGGCCAAGCTCTTCTGCTGTTACTAACCCTAGTGTCCAGTCTGCCTTGACCAGCACCACTGGGGAGTAAATGGGCAGGAAGAAGGCTAGGATTTCTGAGGAACGCTCAGGAAAGCTAGAACAGCCTGTCCCACAGAAGGCTAGAACACCTTGGGAATATTCTGCATTTCTTTGTTTTTGTGAAATTCATTGCATTGGACTTCGGGGCCAGGGGTGAGGAAAAGCTCTGAGCACTAAGAAAAGGTTAGAGTCCTTTATGCAGAGACAGTCACCCAGGAGAGAAGGCCAGCTAGAATCCTACTTGAGTGCCATGCACGACAGCCAAAAACTAAGAATTAAATTAAGCAAAACAAAAATGTAAAAAGCCATTTGACAATGTACAAAAGTCACTGATGGTGTTAGAAGTTAGGGACCTGGTGCTTTTGCTGGAAATCAGTGAAGAAGTGAGCACCAGGGGGCTTCTGAGGTTCTGGTCATGTTCTAGTCCCTGATGTGGGTGCACTGATACCAGTGTCGTCATTTTCTGACAGCTCATTAGCTATACAGTAATGATTTGAGCACTTTTCTGCATATATCTTCTAATTCAATAAAAAAGTGTTTTGAAAAACAAAAATGCTAATAAAAATCTGCTAATATACGGATCTTATTTGGATCTTGATTTTAAAAAGCAAACTAAAACAAAACAAAACCCATTTATGACACAATATGGGAGATTTGAACACTGGATAGTTTCTTCAGTATGACAAAATTATTCTAAAATTTTTGGTGTAATAGTGATATTTTATTATGTGTTTGGAGTCCTTATGACTAGAAATGCATAGTAAAATAATTGCGTATGAAATGATATGATTTGCTTTAGAATATGATTTGCTCATAGAAATATGAGATTTGTTTTAGAATAATTTAAGCTGAAATGGAGAGTGGGTGAGGGACAGAGAAATTAAGCGTGGCCATGAATTGATAATTAATGAGGCTGGTGATGGGTACATGAGGATTCACTATATTGTTCCTTCTAGTTTTATGTATCTTTGAAAAAATATGTAACTAAAAGCTTTTTCAAAAGCCATCAGCAAAAGTAATCTATGATGTTGTAAAGCAGGTGAGTGATTTCCTTTGGGTAGGAGAGTGTATTGGAAGGGGGCATGTGGTCAAGCTGGTGGGGATTGGGTGGAGGGCACTAGCAACATAGGCATGGCCTCTGTGGTGCAGACCAGGAGCCTGACACTTTGTGCAGCAAAATGCATTTTTCTGCAGTATTTGAAGCACTTAGAATTGCTTAACTGGCATGCAGTGTGCCAGATTTATGCCATTTCTTGTATCTGAAGTGGCTAGTTCCCACTGTGGACAAGGGAAGAAATGGGCTTGACAAAAGCAGTTTCCATTTCCAAATAGCACATGCAGAGATGTCCTCTTTCCCTGAGGCTTTCGCCCCAGTCCTCTGACTAGATAATGCCAGCCACTGTTGCAGGGGAGGAAGAAAAACAGAGGCATGAGACCCTGCAAAATGAGTGACATGGCTAGCAGCATGGCACAATCAACACTGGCACTGCCAACCAAGACCACCCAAGAGCCTGCAGCAGCTCGTCCCAGATGTCTAAAGCCAACAACAAGAGCCCCGAGGTTCAAGAGGCAAACAAACAAGCAGAGTCCCAGGGACCACTGAAGACCCTGTGTTGCCGAACTACTACATCTGCAATGAAAATGTCAGAAGGTGAGGTTGGTGTAATTCTATGATTAGCTTTTGTTAGTAACATAGAAACAAAACAAACATGCTCATCCTGGGATCCTTGAGGTTAAGGAACTGCTGGCACTGACAGCATACCTTTCCCCAGCCAGCCATTAATCCCCCTTTGAGGGCTAGAAATAATAAGAACTTGAAAAATACTCACATACTGGACTAGTGGAATCTTTCCATGGGCCCTTTTCATGCACCCACATCCCTTTAGATGCAATGATCCAAGATGGAGCCGAAAGTCTGCACCCACTCCCACTACTGGGGATGCTCATCCAACTACCAGTGGGCAAGGGAAAGAGAGGGGGAGGGGACTGGCAGTGCCCTAAGAGGGGCCCACTGGATTCTTTTTTCCTCCAAATTAGCCCTGTTTTTCACCTTACAAGATGACGAGTCTGAGGCCCACATGGGGGAAGGGCTGTGCCCAAAGTCACACAACCCACTTGAGGCTGAGCCTGGACCAGAGTAAGGTTTCCTGGTTTGATGTGGCCCTTGCCAACACACCTCACAGCCACCTCTTCAGCTCTTTGCTGACATCATGGGTTGCCATGTTGACAATGTGTGAACACCAGTTACTGCGGCCCTTCCCCCCACCTCCAAGGGTAGTATCCATCTGCTGTTTTTTCTGCTCCCCCTGCTTCCTTCAGCCCCCACTCCCAGACCCCTTTTGCCCTAGCCAGTAACCATGCCAGCTCTCCCAAACATTCCAACTCATATCTGGAGGGATGTAGATGACTGGAAATTCCTAGCACGCATTCAGAAATACTTTCCAAGCCCCTGCTGAGGCCAGCCCCCACACCTCAGGGCAATAGTGAGCCAGCAGGGAGCCCCACAGCCCCTCCCCTGAGGAGCTAAAGCAGTCTGTGGTGAAGAGAGAAGCCATCTCCTCTCTCCCCAAAAACAGATAAGGAAGTGCCCAGTGCTGTGGAGACTTCTAGAATTGAAACCGTCTCAAAAATATGAAGCAGTCATCTTCCACTCAAAAAAGTCAGAAGTGCAGGGGGCAAGCTTCCTAGCAAAATCCCAGGGCCAGAAGAGAGTGTGAGGGAAGCTGGCTACTCAAGGGGAACTTGCTGTTAGCCTTTGGAAAAGGAGGGTGGGGACTGAAATCTAGGACCCAAACCTCAGACCTCAGAGAATAACATTCTTGGCCTCAGGTTCCAGTCTGCCGGAGCTCTAGAGCCAGCAGGGTGGGGGAAAAGGGGATGAAGGAGGAAAGGGGAGGCCAGTGGCAGAAATGGGGTGGATAACTGGGGCGGGAATCCTTGGACTAAACTGGGGTTCCCACCTGGGACTGACACCAAGAGGAGCGGCAGGAAGGGAAGCAAGTAGAGTTATCTGGCACAGTGCCAGGTAGTTAGTAGGCACTCAGAAAAAGAAATCTGAAAGAGAGGACAGACTAGCCAACACTCCAGCATTTAGGTACAGTTCCGCTCCCGGAGCCCGAGCGCCTTTCTGGGCGCCACCTTTCCAAAGTCTCTCCCGGTCCTCAGAAGCGCGTGCCTACCCAGGTCGGTTATCCCGCGGGCCACTCGCCTCTTCTCACGGAAGACCCAGAGAGGGAGAGGCGTGCTCATCCCCTGGCTGTCGCCGTGGTTTTGGAGACCGGGAGTCTGGAGACGGGAGCAGCCAGGGGACAGGCGTCCCACCTTCCTTCCTAGACACCCCTTCAGCCAGCCCATCCTAGAGGGAGTGGGTTGGAGGCTGGCGGCGCGTCGCGTGGACCCAGGGACCGGCTAGCCCGCACGGGGGCCAGGAAAAGGTGGGCGCGGGATTAGAGGAACACAGGGGCGCGGGGGTCCGGGTAACTGGCCTACCTCCAGGGGAGAGACAGCTGGGCGCGGAGGGTTCCTAGGTCCCGGGATGGAGACTCACCTAGACGGAAGGATGATGGACAGTCCCAGGAGGATCAGGAGAACTTTGGTTAACATCGTGGCGCAGACCGGCGCGACCACCTGTGCGGAGGTCGCTGCGCACGGTCTGGCGGCACAGAGCGCGTCGTGCAGGGTTTTGTTGGGCTCCAACTTCCACTCCTCCCACTCGCCCCGCCCCGCGACCCCCTCCCTGGCCCCGCCCCCTGAGCCCCGATGGAAATCTCCGACGACGTGTTTGCTGCAGCGGAGGAGAGTGGGATGGATAGGCTCCAGCGGGCGGGGGGCGGAGAAGAGAGGAGGAGGGAAAAGAGGAGGTAGCCCTGTCGCCAAGACCCCCCCGCCCCCCGCCGCCACTACAGCAGCGCTGCCAGACAGCCAGGGGCGGGGGACGGGGGAAGGGAGGAAGAGGCGAGCTGGCCGCGAGGGCCCCAGGCAGGGGAAACCAGAGGCCCGCAGCTGCAGCTTCAAGGGCGGCCCCAGACTGGGTCGGGCTGGGCAAGATGAGGGACTGGGTGGGCCCCTGCCTCCTTCTAGACCCCCTCCAGCTCGGTGGCACAGTGGAGGGTAGAACTGTGGCCTGCGGCCCTTGGCTGCCTCCCTATCACCTGTTGCTTCCCCAGGTCCCTGACCTCAGATTTCACCTACCCTCACTCCAGACCTTCCAGTCTTTCAGAGTACATCTCTTGGCACCCGAAGGAAACTGGGTAACTGAGTACCCTCCTTGGCACAGGGGAAGAAGAAAAACTTGGGGAGGTCTCCCCAACAAGCTTTGAGCTACTCCACAGACCAGTTTCCAAGGTATTTGAGGCAGGGAAGGACCCAGAAGGAGGACCAAGCCTAGGCATTCCCTGGAGTACTTTCCCTGAACCACAAGGAGGCACTGGCCTGGGTGTGAGAGGGACCATCTGGGATAGAGGCACCTTGGAAACCTCTCCAGGACTGGCTGGCCAAAACTTTCTGGAGACTTTGCTCCTAGTCATGCCAGAAGTAGAAGTGAGAAGGAGCTAGGGGTGTGGTCATGGGGGTGGTGAGTGGGCTCAGTGCCCCCATTAAGGATAGCTGAAGAGTCTCAAGCATCCTTGGACTTTCTCTTTGTTACCTAGACCCTCATGATTCACTTGAGAGGGGAAAAGATTGCGGAGATTTGCCTATCAAGCTGATGTCAAACATTAACAGCATCCTCACCTGTTGCTCTAGAAGGGGCTGTGTGCATCTTAGCTAGCAGGATGGCTCTCCACCACCCTACCCCTATCCCATCACTCTGCTTTGTCATCTCCACAACATTGCCCATGAAGTAACGATTTTCTTGGACATTTTGGGGGGAGCTTATTTATTGTGGGTTTCCTCCACTAGTGTAAGATCAGTGACAGGAACCAAGCCAAACCAAACCAACCAAACAAACAAACAGAAAACATGTCTGTCTGGTTTCCCACTATATATTACTGAAACTTAGATGAGTTCTGGGCACACAGTAGGCACTCAACAAATACCTGTTTTTGACCTGTGTGCAGCTGTGTGTGTCCCAGTGCCACTGAGTTTACTGGGACCTGGGTTCCCCTCAGCCTCTGTGCAAGACAGAGGAAAAGATTAAAGGACACATTCAGGCCTCTTGTGTGCATGCTTCCTAGCCCTGTGGCAGGGAAAGCTTCATGGGTTTGTAACTTGTGCAGAAGGGCCCTATTTTGTTTAATGCTTTGCTGTCCTCTTCTTGAAATTCTTAATAATTTTTGAACATGTGGCCCTGCATTTTTATTTTTCCCTTGCCCTGCAAATTACTTAGCCACTCTTGCCCTAGGGAGACATGCTGCAGAGCAGAGACCAGGCAAACACAGAGCATTCCTGAGCTCACTACAAGGAGAAAGCTGCCGACCATCTGCTTGCCTTTCTGTTCAGCACCAGAGTGCTGTGCAGAGATGCCTTGTGCTTGAAGTGTCTCATATGGATGTCTCTTCCTCCACTGACATTGGAGTTCCAAGAAAGGCAGGTTTGTCTGATTTCTCTGTGTTCTCCTAGGTTGAGTGCAGTGCTTAATGACTGGCATTAGTTATATTTGCTGAATAAGTGACTAAGTCCCAGGCAGTCAAAAGAGGCAAGGGGTTATAGTTTCCAGGTCAGAGGACCCACCTGGGGCAATTTTCTCATAAGGGTAGAGACTAGTCACACTTTGCCATCTTCCTTACTCACCTCATCCAGTAGGAGAGCTGCCAGAACCTGCAGAAACTCCTGAGCCTTACAAAAGGCAGGGCTTGATTATTGTGTTGCACTCTTCAAGTACTTCCTGTGTGCCTGTCTATGAGAGGCCATGGACTTGGCAATGGAGGGATATACAGTAATGGTCTTGGCTTTCACATATATGGTTGAAGAGAGAAGAAGGGATTTCTCTCAAAAATTACTAGTACAAGGTAGAAAATCATGATTTCCCTGGAGTTCCCAGAAAGACATGCCTCTCTCTGGCTGGGCAGTTCTGGAAACTTCAGGCAGGAGGAGGAGCCTATGCTTTACATGGACTTGAGACCTGCAGCAATACATAGGCCTTACTGGCAGAGGTGCAGAGATGGGCATTCCAAGCATAGAGCCAGCCAAGGTGTTGAAATCAGAAATGTGTGGTGCTTGATAGAAAACAAGTAGGAGTTTGCAGGAACATTTGCATGAAGAGGCATTGCGGGAGATAAAGCTGGAGTGGCAGTTTGGTCAGGCTAGTGCTGGGCCTTGAATGCTGAGCCAAGAACTTGCACTCTATATTGTAGGCAAAGGGGAAGTTACAGAAGAATTTCAAACAGGGACATTGCATGTCAGAACTGTTCTTCAAGGACGCCCCTCTGATAGAAGCAGGCAACAGTGTTTGCAGGAAGGAAAGACTGGAGACTTTTTTCACCCGGAAAAGGAGTTGTATGGATCTGAATGAGAGCAGAGCCATCAGGATGGTTAGAAGGGAGAGCTCAAAATGGGTGAGTTTTAACTGACACAATTATGACTAATTAGATGGAATGGGAGAGGAGGCAAAGGAGATCAGGTTGCTAGAGAAGATGCAGGGTCTTCCTCAGGTGACCAGCATGGCAGAACAGTAATAGGGAAGGTGAAAGGAGGAGGGGGAGGGCTTTTAGTCAGAGTAATGAGAACAGTCCCTTGCATTTTGTGTTTCAGTTTCTAAGTTTCCAAGAACCTGCACACTTATTGTCTAGGTGTGTGTGTGTGTGTGTGTGCGCGTGTGTGTGTGTGTGTGCATGTGTGTGTGTGTCTACTTCACTATCCTGGGCTGATTACTTCAAATATATCTCTCTACAACTTGATTTTCATGCTGGAGAAAAACAAAGAAGTTAATATAGTGGCTGTATTTTCATAACTAAACCAAGCTACCCATTGGTCAGAATAGCCATGAGCAACCCCTTTGTCAGTTGTGAATGATCACATTTAATGACCAATACCAAACCATCCTGTGTCCTGCTATACATGTGGTTTAGGGGTAAAACCAGAGCTGCCTGCCATAAAGTCTGTGTGTTCCTGTCCAGCTTGGTCCAAAGTATAACACATGCACAACGTGTTTTTCCTACTAGGCCAAGGGAAAAATACCAGCCCTAACAAGTTGTGTAAGATTCTTAGCTAGTTAAGTATGGCCTTACAGCAAGACCAAAGTGGCTGGGACATTGGGGGAGGCAAGCTGGAGGAAGAACTATCTGTAGGGCTAAGATGGGAGCTGAAATGGATGGAGAAGAAAGCAGGGAACAACCAGGCTTTAGAGCAGATAGACAGTAGAAGTAGAGGCAGCACAGGGCAGTAATTAGGTCTGTGTGCTCCACTCTAGATAAGACTGGGGTTGAATTTCAGATCCTCCATTAGATACTAGCTGAATGAACAAAAATTATTTGCCATTCTCACCATGACTGTTATTAAGGAATTACTGATAAATAGCAGTACAGGCACATCTGGTATTCCTGAGATCTTGAACAGCACCTAGGAAGTGTCTGACCAGGGAGCAAGGGCCTAGCCCCAGATATGCATGGCAGAGAAAAGCTCCTGTTTCAGGAAGGAGGTAGTGGAGTTGACAGAACAGATTCTAGATGTTGAGGAACTAGACCACTGAATGAGCACCCCAGGCTGGTGGTACAAGGGAGGAGAGGCATGGCTGGGGCTAGAGATTGAGAGTCTCAGCACATGGATGCTATTCAAATTCATGGGACTAGGTGCAATCACCCAGGGAGAAAAAAGATGGCATAAGCCTGAGTTCTGAGAGCTGTCACAGCAGCCAACAGAAGAGAGGAGAGTTTCTACTAGGATGGCAGGTTCAACAATGTTCTAGTAAGACAAGGATTGAATGATACCCATCGGATTGGTTTATTAACAGGGAAGTCATTCATGAGCTTTGACACAGCTGTTGCAGTGGAGCAGTGGGGTGGGGGCCAGTTCACAGAGGGTTGAAAAGTGCAGGAAAGGGGCAATGAGAGAAGGGAGAATATGAACACAGACAGCTTATTTGAGAAGTCTGGTTGGAAAGCAGAAAAAGTTGTCACTATCTCCCAGACCAAAAATGGGGATGGGGGCTTAATGCAGGGGCCATGTCTGATTATTCACTGGGTCAGGCTCCAGGGCCTTGTAGAAGAAGAGAAAGAGGTTCAGAGGAAGATCTAACAATGGTGGCAAATGCTGCTGGGCAGCAGCTGAGAGTAATGAGGTCTAGAAAGTGTCTGCTCTGAGGAGTGAATGTGTGAGGTGTAGATGTGGGATAAGAAAACAGACAACTTCTCAAGAAGTTTACCTTGAAGGAGGAGAGAGTGTAACAGAGGGAAGCAAATATTTGGAAAATTCTGATTTTTGTGTTTTAAAGATGAATGAGACCTAGCATGTTTATAGGCTACAAGGAAGAAGCCTATCGAGGGGAATTGGTAGGGGAGTAACTTCTTAAGGAGGTAGTTGGGTAGAGTCAGAGCCCAGTGTGCAGAATTGGTCTATTAGTAAAGGATGAACACATCTTCCTCAGAGGAGGGAGAGAGGAAAGGAAAGGAGATGAAAGTGACAGGCTCATTAATTTATTCAACGAACACATGTTACCACATGCCAGG